AAAGTAGACACTGTCATGTCACCCACTTTTGTTGGATGATTAGTTTTGACCATCCTAGGTGTCTCCTACTGCTTAGTCCTACCTACGTGACACCTTTATTTATGAAACTAAACCTATCACACAACTTATGAACCTTCTCTAGGTTATGGTACTTAGCTTTTGTTTTGGAATTTCTTCACGTTGATGTTGTCCCTCGGCGATTCTGCGTTGTTGCTCCTGTGTCGAAGTTCGGTTTCCTTTCCTCAGCGTCGTCTTGTGTAATTTCTTTAAATTTTTTGCATCTGTTGTTTTTCACAATTTTTGCTAATTTGTTGATTTATCTCTCAACAACTCTTCCTCCCTTTCTTCCTTCCTTCTCACCGCCTTCTGTGGCCGTTTGAATTCGGGTTTTCCGATTCTCTTCTGTTTCCGTCTATCCCGTGAGCGCTCTCCAACCGTTATCTTTCAAAATCCGGCACCTGTCTCTTACTTTCGTGTGATCTCGGTAAAAATGGCTCCCCGTGATCCTGGTGCGGAATCCTTGAGTGCGCTTATCACCAGCGACCTTCCTGAACCCCAGGAGCACTCAGATCAATTAAATGCAGAGTACGGGGATTTTGCTCGTCTTATTTGTGTCCAACTTGTTCGGGGGCTTTACCGCCCCGCTGGCTGGACTTCTCGCCGGGTAGGTCTACTTTTTGGTTTCTAGTTTCCTTCCTTTATTTCATTGTTTTCCTTGAATTCTATATTTATTTATTTTTCAGTTATGCATCCGTTGTGGAAACTCTTCCGCGGTTAAGACAAGCAACAAATGGGAGGTGCTGGATGACAGCTTTTTCGAGGAAGACTTAGTTGTTAACGAATGGGTTTTCGGCCTTAATGACGAGTGGTGTACCTGCGGGTATTGTTTTGGACCTTGTTATGTATGTTTTGTTCCTTTCCTCCTTTCTTTTCCTTTTTATTTCTGTCTCCTTTATTTGTATGTTTTTATTTTATTTTTAGCGAGTCTTGGAGCGTGAAATTATGGCGCACCGGAACAAGGATGGCGTTATTAGTTCCCAAGAATACTATGGCATTCTTAACCTTGGTGCAAATTCTATCGAGACTCTGCCCGATATTCCTGAGGAATCTGAGCCCGAAACAGAAACAGAGGATTGGTACCCTGTCGGTCCGGCTGACTCCTCTGACTCCGACGAAGGTAGGATACTCTTTTGTTTTTCCTGTTCAGTTCGAACACGTAACGGTTCTCTGATTCCGGCCTCTTCATCATGGCTCTCGTATTTTTACATTATCACCATGGGTTGGAGGATTCTGAGCCCGTTCAGATTTGTGGGAGTTGCGCTCCCTTTTGTGCCCCTGAGTTTACTTTGTTGCGTTCACCCGGGGTCTTTGAGCTTTCTTTCCAAACTTTTCCCGATCTCTTTGGTGCGCACAGTATTTTTATCTGTGCCCGGTGCCTTCAATTTATTTTTGTACGTTCTAGGTCTTCCCTCGGTTACTGTAGGTGATTTTTGTTGCTTTATTGTTGTTTTTGTTGTTTAGCGCCCTCTGCACCAACTGGTCCTGGACCCCTCAGTGCTTCTTCCGCCCCCTCCCAGTAATGGCGGCTGCCTCTCTGAAGAGTGAGGTTAGTGTTTTTTTGCTTCTCTTTTCTTCACACTCGTCCCTTTACCGTTCTGTTTCACCCTTTCCTCCGTTTCTTTCCAGATTTTCCTCTGTGTTTTCCTTTGTGATTTTCCTCGTCATCAATTTATCCAATTTTTGTGATCTCCTTTTCATGTTTGTTGTTATCTGGGTGGAATGTTTAAGGCTGTTCCTCCATTTAAAATGTTTATTCACTCATCTCTCAAATAAGAACATATTTATTTATTTATTTACATTCTATGTTAAAATACTCCATTTGTTCCTTAACATCTTGTGATCTCTAATGTAATATAACTCATTTATTAACACGGTTTCATGGTTGTTTCTTCTTCTCCTTGGTACACTCCTTGGTATAATGGAAACGTTCTCGGCATTTCTTGCACCGTGCATTAAACCTGGGATCGTCCGGGTGTACTTTTAAGTTTTTCTCCTCCATTTCCTTGTTTCTTGCATTCCATTTTTCTTGGATCCAGTCCCGTTTTGGAGTAGGCACACTTATATCTTCCATAGGTATTAGCTTCCATTTTATTTGCTCTTCCTTTGCCTGTTTCTCTTCTTGTGTCTCTATTTTTTCATTTTCTTTTTCGTTACTGTTTTCTTTTCCTTCTTGCACCTTCTCATTATCTTTCCTTTCTTGTGGCTCTTCTTCGCTCTTTCCATTCTTTTCTTCCTTTTCGTTACTGTCTTCTGTTCCTCTTTGAACCTTCTCATTATCTTTTCTTTCTTCTGGCTCTTCTTCGCTTTCACTCAGGGCTAGATCTTCTTGTAGGATATTTTCTTTGCTTTCATTCTTTCCTGTTGCTTGGTCTTCCTGTTCATTTTCGACCATTTTGTCATCTGTCTTCTTTGGTTTCGTTTCCTCTGGTTTGCCCACTATCTTGCTTTTCACTTGCTTGGCGCTTTCCTCGTCACTATCTTCACTGCTTTCACTTATAAATTCCTTTGATTTTGGTGTTTCGTAGCATGCTCTTTTAACGGGTTTAGTAGGCCTTTTCTGCACTCGCACTTGTTGTCTTGGCTGAGCTATGGCTCTTGGAGCTTCTATTACCTGGATCTTGACTCCCTTTTTGGCACCCATGATTTTCCTTTTGAGGTTTTGCACATCCAGTTTCGGCTTATGTAGTAGCTGGACTTCTTTGGCTTGCTTGCTATCCTCTTTTCTTTTATCTTCCTGCATCTTTTTACTCACTCTGTTCACTATAGCTTTCAGCTCCTCTGGTGTCTTTGGTGTTGGTTTTTCCTTCTTCATTGGCACTACACTTAGTTGAAAAATCTTCCTTTCTTGGCTTACTTCGGGTACTGCCACTCTCAGCCCTTGGAAAGTAGATTTCTTCTCCGGAATCTCTTCCATTTCGATTTAACACACGTTTCACAAATAATTATTTTACTCAGGTATCCGCACTGGAGGTTTGGTATTCCCTTCAACAATGCTCACCGCCTTCCGTCGTTTGAACTTCGCGCTGTGTTGCCAAGTTGCCTATCGAGTCTGGAAGTGGAAGTAAGCCTGCTCGATTGTAGTCGAGATATCGATCTCACTTCAAGATGGCCGCCTTGCTTATTAGCAGACGTAAGTTAACCAAGCGCTGCAGATGTATTCATCTTCCTTGGCTTCTCCTTTTGGACATTTAGCTAGTCTGTCCACATGGACTATTATGTTTTTCTTGCGTTCATCCATGCTTTGGATGCGTGCGTTACAATCATTTATAAGATCCAGTATCAGGTATGGACCTTCCCATCTTGTGATTAGCTTTGTTGAGATACCCTTAACCCTTCTGGGATAGTACAGGAAAACCTGGTCTCCTTCCTTAAATGGTACTAGTGCTGCTGTTCTGTCGTAATATTCCTTCATTCTTTTTGCAGCCTTCTTGCTCATGTGTGCCACTAATTTGTGGATGTCTTGTAATGTTTTCCTGACCCAAAAAGGATATTGTTTGAACATGTCCTCTTCCTTTGGAGGTTCACCCCTGGCCATGTCGAGTGGTGTTCTCATGGTAGCTCCAAACATTACCTCGTATGGGCTGAATTTGTGAGATGTGTGTGGTAGACTTCTGTATGCTTGTGCTATAAAAGGTAAGTACTTTGGCCACTCTTGTCTGTCATTCTCTATCAGAATCATTAGTTGTTGTTTGAGTGTTTTAATCCATCTCTCTGCTTTTCCATTTGATGCAGGGTGAAATGCCGAAGTTCTATATTTCCTTATGTGGTACAACTCCATTATCTCCTGGAATAGTAGTGAGTCGAATGCTTTGCCCTGGTCTGTTAACAATGCATGCGGGGCTCCAAATATGGAGAATACATGTGTTATCAGAGCTTGTGCTATTTCATCCGCTGTTTGTTTGAACAATGGAACTATTACAGACCAACCTGAAAATGCTTCCACTGCTACTAATATGTACTCGTGTCCTTCTTTGCTTCTAGGATTAATTGGTCCATATATATCCACATGCCACCTTCCGTGTAACATTCCTTCCTGGAATAATTTCAGTGGTGCTTTAGTCATTCTGTGTGGACCTTTGAACTTGGCACACACTCTGCATTCAGATATTACTCCATATATATCATTAAACATTCCGGGCCACCAGAAGAACCTTTTAAGGTATGCGAGTGTTTTTGTTATTCCAAAGTGATTTCCTAACCCCAACTGTTCATGGTATGCCTTAACTGTTTGCTCCACCAGTTGTTCCGGGAGTATTAGTTGTAATTCCTCTTTGCTTTTGTCTCCACTAGGATGTTCAAACTTTCTGTATAATACTCCACCGTTTATAGTGAGAGATTTGAACTGTAGCCACAAGGTTCTTGTTTTGCTTCCATACTGTGCTATCTCTTGAAAGTCTGGTCTGACTCCATCCTCTACAGCCAAAAATATGGGCATTATGGATTCGTCCAAAACTTGTGCTTTGTGTATGTCACTTGGTGTCAGTCCATTTGGGACTACTGTTGTCCAGTTTACTTTTACATTATCTGCGGTAAGTCTGATGTGTTTTCTTTTGTTTTGTATACATGTTGGACAATTATCTAGGCATTCCAATGTGTCTGCCACAGTGCTGCATTGGCACACAAAAGCTACCTTGTCTTTTTCTTCTAATCTGTCACATTTGTTACAGTTTTCACATGGTCTCCTAGATAATGCATCAGCATGTCCTATACTGGTTCCTTTTACGTGGAT